TTTTGTGGTGTCTTTATCTAGTTTTGGTATCAGGGTAACGCTGGTCTCAAGGAATGAATTTGGAAGGTTTTCCTCCATTTCTATTTTTTGGTATAGTTTGCGAGGAATAGGTATTAACTCTTCTTTAAATGTTTGGTAGAATTCACTTGTGAAGCCCTCTGGTTCTGGACTTTCGTTTGTTGGGAGGTTTTTGATTACTGATTAAATTTCTTTGCTTGTTATCAATCTGTTCAAATTTTCTATTTCTTCCTGATTCAGTTTTTGTGATTTACAGGTTTCTAGGAATTTAACCCTCTCTTCTAGGTTGTGCAATTTGTTGACATATAGTTTTTCATTATATTCTCTTATGATTATTTGTATTTCTGTGGTGTTGGATGTTATTTCTTCTCTCTCATTTGTGATTTTATTTATTTGGTCCTTTCTATTTTCTTTTCAATATGTCTGGCTACAGGTTTATCAATTTTATTAATTTTTTTCAAAGAACCAAGTCCTAGTTTCATTCATGTGTTCTACTGTTCTTTTAGTTTCTATATTATCTATTTCTGCTCTAATTATTATTTCCTTCCTTCTTCTGGCTTTAGGCTTCATTTGTTGTTTTATTTTCTAGTTCCTTTAGGTATAAAGTTAGGTTGTTTATTTGAGATTTTTCTTGCTTCTTGAGGTAGGTCTGTATTGCTATATATTTCCCTCTTAGGGCCTATTTGTTGCATCCCAGAGGTTTTAGACCATTGTGTTTCAATTTTCATTTGTTTCCATGTATTTTTTAATCTCTTCTCTGATTTCTTTATTGACCCATTCATTGTTTAGTAGCATGTTATTTAACTTCCATATATTTGTTGTCTTTCCAGATTTTTTCTTGTGGTTGCCTTCTAGTTTCATAATGTTGTGGTCAGAAAAGGTGCATAGTATGACTTCAATCTTATTGTATTTGTTGAGGTTTGTTTTGTGGCCTAATATGTGATGTAGTCTGGAGAATGTTCCATGTGCACTTGAAAAGAATGTGTATTCTGCTGTTTTAGGTTGGAATGTTCTGAATATATGTGTAAAGTCCATCTGGTCCAGTGTGTCATTCAAAGCCACTGTTTTCTTATTGATTTTCTGTTTAGATGATCTGTCCATTGATGTAAGTGGGGGTGGTAAAGTCCCCGACTATTATTGTATTATTACTGATTAGTTCCTTGATATTTGTTATTAACTATTTTATGTATTTGTGTGCTCCCATGTTGGATGCGTAAATATTTGCAATTGTTGTATCTTCTTGTTGGATTGTCCCCTTTGTTATTATGTAGAACCCTTCTTTGTCTCTTGTTACAGTCTTTGTTTTAAAGTCCAGTTTGTCCAATGTAGGTATTGCTAATCTGGCTTTCTTTTGACATCCATGTGCATGTAAATATTTCTCCATTCCTTCACTTTCAATCTACAGGTGTCATGAGTCTCTTGTAGGCAGCATATAGATGGGTCTTCTTTCTTTTTTTCCATCCATTCTGACACCCTATGTCTTTTGACTGGAGCCTTTAGTCCATCTACATTCAAAGTAATTATTGATAACTATATATTACCATTTTATTACTTTTTTTGTGGTTGTTTCTGGAGATTTTCTCTGACCTCTTGTCTTCCTCTTTTTTATGTTTTGCTTATTTTCTTTAGTGATATATTTGGATTTCTTTCTCTTTATTCTTTGCATTTCTAGTAGTGGTTTGTCCTATATGGTTACCATTAGGTTTGTATATAACCTCTTCTGAATATAGCAGTCTATATTAAGTTGATGGTCATTTAAGTCTGAACCCATTCTTTTCTCCTCTTTTCCCCATGTTTGAGATACATGTTAATATATTTTATACCCTTTTTTTGGTGAGTTCCTTGACTGATTTTTTTACAGAAATATTCATTTTTACTGCATTTGTGTTTCCTGCATTGGTCCTGTCACTTTTGGTCTCTCGTTTCCACTTAGAGAGTCCCTTTTAATATTTCTTGCAGGGCTAGTTTAGTGGTCACAAACTCCTTTAGTTTTTGTTTGTCTGGGGAAATGCTTATCTCTCCTATTCTGAACTGAGGCCTTGTTGGATAGAGGATTCTTGGCTTCAGATTATTCCCATTCAGCCCTCTGAATATATCGTGCCACTCTCTTCTGGCTTGCCAAGTTTCTGTTGAAGAATCCCCATCTGGCCTTATGGGTTTTCTCTTGTAAGTTAATGACTTCTTTTGTCTTGCTGCTTGTAAGATTTTTTATCACTATACTTAGAAAATTTAATTATAATATGTCTTGGTGTTGGCCTGCTTTTGTTGATTTTGTTGGGGGTTCTCTGTGCCTCCTGGATGAGGATGTCTGTTTCCTTCTCCAGATTAGGGAAGTTTTCAGCTATTATTTCTTCAAATAAATTTTCTGCACCCTTTTCTCTCTTCCTCTGGAACTCCTATAACACAAATGCTATTACGTTTGATAGAGTCACTGAGTTCCCTAAGTTTATTCTCATTTCACATAATTTTTCCTTCTCTCTTTTGTTCAGCTTCATTGTTTTCCATTTCATTGTCTTCCAGGTCATTACTTCATTTCTCTGCTTCTTCCAGCCTGGTGTTCATTGCATCAAGTGTGTTTCTAATCTCATTTATTGCACTCTTCATCTCTGATTCTTTTTAAATTCTTTTATCTCTGTGGTAAGGGTCTCCCTGATGTTCTCTATTCTTCTCTCAATTCCAGTAAGTATCCCTATGATCATTGCTTTACATTCTCCATCAGGCATGTTACTTATCTCTGTTTCACTCAGATCTCTGTCTGTGACCTTATCTTTTTCTTTCGTTTGGGATAAATTCCTCTGTCTTCTAATTTTGTCTAAGTCTCTGCCTGCTTCTTTTATTAGAAAAGCCAGTTATTTCTCCTACTCCTGAAAGTAATAGCCTTATGAAGAAAAGGTCATGTAGTGCCAAGGGCCTGACTCTTCAGGGAGTGTCTCTGGTATGTGTTACATGGGTGCTGCCATTGTGTCCTGGCCACTTTATCCTTCAGGCCAGTCATCTGCAGAGGCTTTCCTTGCCTGCTGTGGGCAGTGTTTGATTCCTGGCCTGAATGTGGCAAGTTTTAACTACATATGCTTTGGTCTGCTTGTGAAATGAGACCTGTCACCACCTCCACTCTCTTGCAGGAACTGAGGTCCTGCAAAATTCTCTGGTCAGGAGATGTGGTATGGAAGGGGTTTGTGCTGCTCTTCTGGGGGAAGGATCTGCCGGCTGGAACTGATGCAAGTATGACTGAGAAGGGCAGTCTCATTGGAGTGCAGGGAGGGAGGCTTAGTATAAGCAAGTTAGACAGCCAGTATCATTGCTGTGCTGTTTCCCACTGGTGACTCTGTGCTTATGGTGAGGGGCAGGGGAAGGAAATGGCACCAGCAAGCTCCTTTGTTCCTGGAGAGGTGTCTCTGTGAATGCTGCTTCTCAGTGACACACTAAGAAAAAATGATCTCCCCAATGTGTGCCCCAGTCGTTCTTCAGCTCACTGTTTCCATACTGGATGCCCTCAGGTTGTTTGCCTGCCTTCTCTCCTAGAGCAGCACAGAGCTTTCCAGGCTGTATCACAGCAAGCCCACTGACCTTTAAAACTCCAGGGTTCAAGTCCCACTGGTTTCAAGAACTCATGAAATTCTGCCCCTCTCATTTTGCAAGCCAATGTCTAAGAGGAAACATTCTCCTTTCGTGTTCCCCTGCATGCTCCTCTCTCTATCACCCTTCTCAATGACCATGGCTCCCTCCCCTCTGCAGTACCCAGGATTTACTTCTCCCCTAAACCACTTCTCCACACTTCCTACCTTCTTCAACGTGACCTCTTTTCTCCCTTTAGTTGTGTAGTTCTATCAGTCCTCAGGTCAATTTCTGGGGTATTTAGGATGATTTGATAGTTATCTAGTTGTGTTCATGGAACAAGGTGAGTCTAGGGTACTCCCACTCTGTTGTCATATTCCTGTTTCTCTGCACCATGTCTAATTTTTAAGACCGTAGTATTGCAAGGGACTCAAAAATTCTGATCTGGGAATTAAAAAAACTTGAACACCAATTTTTCATTTGCATTCCAGCTATAAGATTCCTCCTGTTACCTTTCATCCCCACCCCTGCTAAGGTAGGTGAACATCTCTGACTAACTATGGAGTAGATTCCATACAGAAAGAAGCAATGATGTAAAAACACAGTAATATATTTCAAAATATATGAACCCTATTGCATAAATGATTATAAGTAACAAATGCTATTTTAGTGTTACAGAAGCATGGTTAAATGGAATAGTAACACTGCTTATAGATGTTCCAGTGGATAAGGATACTGCAAATATAGGTAAAATAAGGAATATAAATTCACCCATACTCTCCTTAGACTTTTAATAAACACTGCTTTTCCATTTCTTGGCCACTCACCATTTAATCTCTGCAGAGGAACTACAGACCTTATAATGACAAGTATTTTTCCTGTATTTTCTGTCAACCATTTATGGAAATTTTCACCTGCTGATTATTTTTATATTAAAAGACTTAACTATGCTGACTAAAAATTCATAGTATAACTTGAGATTATACTAACAGTATTCTGAGAAATAAACTTACTGGTTTCATCCCTTTTTACTTCTATGGATTTCTATATTTGTCCAGGTAAAAAAATCTCAAAATGAGGTCATGGACCAGAACAAATAAGTATCACCTGAAACTCCTTATAAATACAAATTAACATCATAAACTCTGTGAGTAAGGGCCAACAACCTGTTTAACATGCTATCACAATGATTTGGATAGATGATAAAGCTTGAGAATGAGTGCCTTAGATTATCAATTTAATAGCCTATGAAGTGCTTATTTTCTATTATTTATATATTACAGGGTTATGAGTATAGTGGAAACTTAGTAAATATATTATAAAAAGACAAATAATTCAAAATCTATCTATCTACCTATCTACCCATCTACTTATGTATCTATCCAAGCCATAATTACATGTTTAAATTAGCACATCCATGCTCTTACTTGAGAAAGTCAAGAAGTGAAGAATGTTGAAAATGAAGTTGAGTCACCCTTTCAGTATAATCCTCAGGTGAGAACTGACTTGAATTAATTCCAGGTGGCATTTTTCCACTCAAGTGGAGCATCACATCGTAAATGGTCCTATTATATTTGGAAAAGTCATTCTGTCTAGAAAATTTTTTGGATGATGAGGTTGACGAGTAGAATTGTATTTTAAACACTTCCCTATGAGAAAACAATTTTAAAATTAAAAAAAACTCAACATGTTATGTTATGAAAAAATGTTCAATGACTAAATAAAGTTCAATTTAAAATCAAATAAGAAATTACAAAATTTACCTTATTCAGCTACCATTTGTTAGTACAAATTAGATGTTTTGATAACCCTGGAGCTTTTCACTACCTTGTTTTAAACACACATCATTATCTAATGTTGCAATTGTCAGGTCTGGAAGATTGGACTGTGATCAGAAAATGTAAGTGCTTTGGAGAAATAGTACATGGGTTAAGTCCTGGGCTCATTACCTACTAGCTGGTTGAGAAGTTATCCAAACTCACTGAACTCAAATTTTATACCATTTAAATTGGAGATAATAATGCCTATAATAGTTTTGAAGATAGATGTCAAACATTCATCACGCATGTTTAGACGAAAACAAATTTACACATATTTTCTCAATTTTGTATTTTAATAATTAGAAGGGCACATTGGCCTAAGTGGAGATTCACATTTTAAAGATAAGTCCAGAGAGCTATTGCTCCTATATATTTCTCTGTTCTTTAAATAAGACAGTACAACCTCTATTTCTGATACTTCCCACACTCAGTTATACTGCATGCTAATTTTTTTTTTTAAAGATTTTATTTATTTATTTGACAGCAAAAGACACAGCGAGAGAGGGAACACAAGCAGGGGGAGTGGGAGAGGGAAAAGCAGGCTTCCCGCCGAGCAAGGAGCCGATGCAGGGCTCGATACCAGGACCCTGGGATCATGACCTGAGCCGAAGGCAGATACTTAACAACTGAGCCACCCAGGCGCCCCTGCATGCTAGTTTTTAAATTGAGTAAAATAAATCCAACCAATCCTTGCTGTCTATACTTTATCAGTTATCTAATACTATATTATATTGTCTATTTGCTTCCTAGCAGTCAAAGTCAAAATGTATCACTAACTTAGACTAACAAATAAAAAGTGCCCAAGGAGCCATTTTGAATGGCAGTTCTCCAGTTTGGTAGCTAGTAGGTCTGTATTGCATATTATAGGACAAAGTACATTGACTTAGGTAAGGGGCTGACTACCATTGCTCAAACTCTGGCTCTGCCTCTTACTGTGGGACTTTATGGAAGCTATTTGACTTGTCTGTTTCTCAAGTTCCTCATTAGTAATGTACATAACAGAGCAGTATATCCTGAAGGTACCAACAAAGCAAACAAATATTTCAGGGAAAAGAATTAACACCTGAAAATATTTCTATAAAAAAATTATGAAAAAGATAAATGATCTAAACAGAATTAAGACATAACCAGACATTTACTAAAAAAAAGGAGAAAGAACCACAAGTTGAATACAAATAGAAAGAAACAATAAATAACATAAACAGACACACAGGGCCCCCACATATTACAGTTTTAAGACACAGATTTTAAAGTAATTGTATGTACTATGATTAAGATTGAGAATTTTGTCATCAAACTATAAATACAAAAATGTAACTAATGGAGGGGCTCCTGGGTGGCTCAGTTGGTCAAGCATCCGATTCTTGATTTTGGCTCAGGTCATGACCTCAAGGTCATGAAATCGAGCCCTGCGTAGGGCTCTGCACTCAGAATGGAGTCTGCTTGAGATTCTCTCTCTCTCCCTCTGCCTCTGCCCTTACCCCCAATTGCTCTCTCTCTCTCAATAAATAAAATCTTTAAAATATATGTATATAACTAAATGGAAATTTTAGAAATAAACAAATCCAGTAAGTAAAATTAAGAGAGCAATGGATGAAGTTAACAGCAGACTAAATCAAGGGAAGAATTCATGCAATGGAATGTAGGCCATAGGAAAGTGTCTATACTGCAACAGAGAGGGACACAAGGATAGAAAAATACAGGGTGCCTGGGTGGCTCAGTCGTTAAGCGTCTGCCTTCAGCTCAGGTCATGATCCCAGGGTCCTGGGATTGAGTCCCACATCGGGCTCCCTGCTCTGCGGGGAGCCTGCTTCTCCCTCTCCCATTCCCCCTGCTTGTGTTCCTGCTCTCACTATCTCTCTCTGTCAAATAAATAAATAAAATCTTTAAAAAAAAAGAAAAAAAAGAAAAATACAGAAGAGTGAGCAAAGGAAAGGAGCCTCAAAGAATAAGGTAGTCACATAATGGAAAGGATATCGGTTGACAACTTTCCAAAACTGACAATAAAAAATCAAACCACAGATGAAAGAATCACTATGAATTCCAGTAAGAATAACTACAAAGAACAGGCTCTTTATGACGAAACATTTCCAAATGACCAAGAACATGTAAAAATTTTCTTAATAGCAAGAGCAGTAAGATGTCAGTTTAAACCACACCCATCAGAAAGAGCTAATATTGAAAAGACTGACAATATTAACTGTTTCTTACAATGCAGAGCAACTGGAACTTTCATTTATGACCTGTGGGAATGGAAATTGGTACAACCACCTTAGAAAATTGTTTAGAAGTAATTTCTAAAGGTGATCATATTTCTATCTTATGATCTGGCAATTTTAGTCTTAATATATATGCCTTTCAGAAATATGTACCAAAAGACATATTAAAATTTCTATAGCATTATTCATAATAGAAAAATCTAGAAGCCAGTGAAATGTCTATGAACAGAATGATTAAATAATAGAATATTCATACAATGGCCTCGTATGCAGGATTACTAATAATCAACTCTGAAATGCAAAAATGAATCATATGAACATAATACTGAGCAAAAGAAAATCCAGATTCTACAAAAAAATGCAAACTGTATGATTCTTCCTACATAAAGTTCAAAAACAGAAAAAAACTAATCTTTGGTGTTAGAATTCAGGATAATGGTGACCTCTCTGGGAGATGGAAAGGGAGTTGGAAGGGGCAAGGATTCGGAGATATTAGCAGTGCTCTATTTCTTGGTCTAAGTGGTAGCTACACACATGTTCACATAGTTATAATTCTGTCTATATGTTACATGGTGACAAATATGATTAAAATTCAAAGAAACCTTAAACTCTGGAGTTTACAGATCTATGCTTGCATAATAAAACTTAAAAAAGAAAAGGTAGGAAATGATTACCATAAAAGTCAAGCTAGTAATTTCCTTTCAATTATAGAGATCTGGTAGGTTGTGTGGGTCATAAGAGGTTTCTGGGGTGCTGTCAAAGTGAAACCTGCATAGGGGTTTGCTCTAGGAGTAAAATGAGGGGTTGTACTTGGGTTTGTGAATCTTTCTCTATGTGTGTTTTATTTCATGATTTAAAAAGTCAAAAGGAGGGGCACCTGGGTGACTCAGTATGTTAAGCGTCTGCCTTCAGCTCAGGTCATGATCCCAGGGTCCTCAGATCAAGCTCCACATTGGGCTCCCTGTTTGCGGGGGGCCTGCTTCTCCCTCTCCTTCCTGCTCGTGCTCTCTCGCTATCTCTCTCTCTCTCGCAAATAAAATAATTAAATCTTATAAATAAATAAATAAAATCATGAGGAAATAGCTTGGGTCTTCAAAGTTCCTCTAGCACCTGAAGACTGACTGAAATTAGCTAGTTAAAATTATTGTTCAGAGGACTGTTAATGGAAAAGGTGATATTGTTAGTGAATAACTGGATTGCCCACTGGAAGCACAAATTATAATGTATAAACTACAGTCTTTTCTTTAATAACTATATGCATGCATATCCCACAAATCTGAACTTTATGTGTCCACAATAGCCAAACTATGGAAAGAGCCAAGATGTCCATCAACAGATGAGTGGATAAAGAAGATGTGCCAAACTGGAATAATGAAATATTATGCAGCCATCAAAAAACCCGAAATCTTGCCATTTGCAACGACATGGATGGAACTAGAGGGTATTATGCTAAGCGAAATAAGTCAGTCAGAGAATGACACGTATCATATGATCTCACTGATATGAGGAATTCTTAGCCTCAGGAAACAAACTGAGGGTTGCTGGAGTGGTGGGGGGTGGGAGGGATGGGGTGGCTGGGTGGTAGACATTGGGGAGGATATGTGCTATGGTTAGCACTGTGAATTGTGTAAGACTGTTGAATCACAGACCTGTACCCCTGAAACAAACACATTATATGTTTAAAAAAAAAAAAAAAGACGATAGTAGGAAGGGAAAAATGAAGGGGCGGGGAAATCAGAGAGGGGGAGATGAACCATGAGAGACTATGGACTCTGAGAAACAAACTGAGGGTTCTAGAGGGGAGGGGGAATCGCTGCCCCATACGCAAACAATGAATGATGGAACACTACATTAAAAACTAATGATGTAATGTATGGTGATTAACATACCATAATAAAATAAAATTTTAAAAAATCTGGACTTTATGTTAATTAAAAGCTTGACAATTATTAACAATATTCCTTCTCCTCTTGTTTACATATTAGGATATTAAATGATTTTTTAAGTTTCTTATTCAATTATGAAAGTCCTCCTACTTTGGAGATTGAAAATATGCACAAGCAAAAGGCTCAATATACTTATGTCATGATCTATCTTTCCAGGTAAAGAAACCACCTACCACTTAATCACTATCACCAGTAAGCAAGTAATAAAATGGTTAAAGAAGGAAACTATCTTGAAAAGAATTATAAAATGATTCATTATTCTTAACAACAATGTGGAGCAATGAAAAAAACTCAAGGAAGCCAACTCTAATCAGTTACTTAACCACTTTTATTTTAACACTTTCAGTCTAAAGACACATTTTTGTGACTTTGTTGGACATGGCTGGCAGAAAGAAGAGGCAGGCTGCTCAGAAACAGAGGAGAAACTTTGTTTATATTATTAAATTTATCAGTAATCTTGCCAGCAGCTCAAAGTGGCAAAGAAAAAGCATCACACACACACACACACACACACACACACACACACACACACACTTTTTAGAAAACATTAGAACTTCCTACATCAAACTGGGGAAAAATCCTGTGTGAGGGAAGGGAAATATTATTAATGAAATATCATTTGGTAAGTGCTTGGAAAAGATAGGTTTGTTCTTTTTTTTAAAGA